TAGGTCAGGCTAAGTCAGAATCTATTCCAGTAGTGTAAGTTGTTTCCAAGTCGGGGTACCCGTTTATTAATTTTTAGGAATCCCAAGAGCATGGGAACAGGTGCTCAACCTCATGAGTCTTCAGGGAAGTGCAAATGAAATCTACTCCTGGATACCATTACACAGCTACTAGAACTGCGAAAAAAAATTAATGGAAAAATATCAAGTGCTTCCCAGGACACAGAGCAATGGAAACTCTCACACTCTGCTGGTGGCGACCCAAAATGGTATAGCTGCTCAGGAAAACAGCTTGATGGTTTCTTATAAAGTTAAAAATACACTTGCCATCTAATCCAGGGTCCCATATCTAGGCTCTTATTGTAGAAGTATTGAAGACAGAAGTCCACACAACAACCTACATGTGCCTTTTGTGTGTGTGTCACTGGGGTAAACGCGCGGGGCTTTACCACTGAGCTACAGCCTCAGCCCTTTTATGTATTTATTTATTTATTTTGAATACAGGGTCTCACTAAGTTGCTGAGGTTGGCCTCACATTTGCGATCCTCCTGCCCCAGTCTCCTGAGCCTCCAGGATTACAGGTATGCGCCCCCATGCCTATCTATAAGTGCACATGGAGAGAAGCTCTATTCAAAATTGCCAAAACTAGAAAACAACCTAAATGTCCATAAATATGCAAATAGACAACCAAATGGTGACTAGCCATATAACAGATACCACTTGCAACAAAAAGAACTGGATTATTGCTATATCCAGGTTGCCAGGGGATAGGGGTACAGTAACTGCACTTCTTGTAGACACACAGATGCAGCAGGACTGGACTATCCTTCCTGGGCCTCCTGCCCATCTCCTGATTGCAGATGGACAGCTTGAGGGAATTCACGGAAGGAACTATTCTCTATTTTTACCTATCCTTGAATAGGATGTGCTAAAAATGTTTGGCATGCGTTAAAAATCATAGAATTATATATTGAAAAGAGTGTCTTTTTCTGAATGTCACTGTGTCCGTGCGCTGCTGGGGATTCAACTCAAGGCCTCATGCATGCTAAACCTGTGTTCTGGGACATCCTCACCCTGTTTCTGTATGTAAACTTCAAAAACTTTATTAGTGGTTTATAGAAAAAAGAATCCCTAGGGACAAGGCAAATCTACCCCAGGATAACATCACACAGCTACTAGAACTGCGGGAAAAAAAATTAATGGAAAATATCAAGTGCTTCCCTAGGGACAAGGACCCCAGAAGTGGGGGCCCCTCCTCATGTCTTGTCTGTGGTCGCCAGTGTCTGTCCCACCTCTACCTCTTAAGCAGGGTCAGCCAGACCCAATACCCTTTCTGAGTTGCCCACAAATCAAGTTCTGTGTCTGGCTGATGCCCCAGGCAGTATCAGAGGACAGATCACACCACCAGTCTCCCCATGGAGTCTGACCTCAATGTCATCTTCATGACGGCAGGTGACTCTGTCTTGTTCACCAGGGTATCCCCAGGGCCTAGAACAGTGCTTGGTAAGTAATAGTTATTCAATAAATATTTGTTGATTGAATAAATATTGGTTATTCCTTTAACTCTCTGGCTCCAAACTGCAGAATCTATTCTCTTAAATATTCACTGCAGCCCTTCCCTTCTCTAATAATCTCCCTTGCTCTTACTCCCTACCTGGTACTCCCACCTGAAATTCCTGCTCAGGTATTGCCCTGGCCGCTCCTCTGGCCCAAGGATCTCCTGTTGTTTCAGTGAGAATTTCTCCCTCTAGTGGCATCCTGTTACTGCCCCTCAGCCAGAGCCCCACGAAGCAGCCATGGCTTCATGACAAATGGCGGCGGGCCACATGGACTGAACATCCACCTGGGCTCACAGGGGCAGCCCTCATGCCTGGACTGCAGCGAGTAACGGTTGGGGTCTGCCAGGAGGTATTTTGGTTCAATCTTATTCTAAGTGTTGATGTGTTTCTTTTACGTCACTTGAGACCACATCGTTGTAGATGACAGAAAGAAGGATTGGTTATTTGGGGTTGTAATAATGCCCTCTGGTCAGAATCCCCAGTCTATTTATTTCCCTCCAGGCTGGTGGGAAATAAAAGTGCAGGTCCCTTCCTGCCAGGGGCCACTTCTCCTCAGAGTTACACACATCACACAGGTGGCCATTTAAGAGTCACCATCTTTCCCTTCATCATCTGAGGCACAAGTAGCATCCAGGTAGGCGGATTGTGAGTCGCAGGCTCTCCCGTCCACATCTAAAGAATGAACTTAGAGATGAAGGTACAGAGAAAACAAGGCTTTTAATGATGGTCTTGCAAGATCCGTGCCTGGGTGAGTACGCACAGCCGGAACAGTGACAGTCAGCGTTTTATTCCCTAGTGTGCAAGGTCCCTCCCCTGGTTCGTCAATTGCTAAGTACCATGAGGGTCTTTACTGTCTCCTATTGGATTATTAAAGAAATGTACCTTCAGGTGTTGAAAGGACACTTGTATAGTCCACACAAAGTCCAAAGACCACACCACACACCAGAAACTCACACAAGAGACTTATTGACAGTCGCACAAGGCAAACCCACAAGGCTGTCCCTCCAAGGAGAGAAGCAGCGTGTGGGCACTCACCGGGCAGTTTTATAGCCCAAAAGAGGAATTTCATAAGCTGCTTAGGAGCTGCGTCATAAGCTGGGGTGGGGCTGATCATTTAGCGGGCACATGTTCTTATGGGAAATTAAGCAGCTTTGCCTCAGAATCCAAACTTTGGAGCCTCTAGATACAGTGGCTCCCGACCTAAAATGGCAAATCTGAGGCCAATATTGATCTGATGCCAATAGTTGTCCCCATCTCCCTTTGTTCTCTTGTGGTTGGGAAAGCCTTCTAGGAGTGAGTGCATCTTGGCACATACTCACTCTGTTTCTGCTGGTCAGGCCAGTCCCTTACCCCTCACCTCCTGTTTGTCAAGGGGTGGTGACTTTCCATACTCTGGTGTTAACTACTTGTAACTTTCCACTCTGGTCTCCCTTCCTGCTGCTTTCATTTCTCTTCTTTAAAAAAAAAATTATTTTTAGTTGTAGTTGCACATAATACCTTTATTTTATTTATATGTAGTGCTGAGGATCAAACCCAGGGCTTCGCACTTGCTAGGCAAGCACTCTACCACTGAGCCACAACCCCAGCCCCTTCCTGCTGCTTTTCTTACATCCCAAATAATTTTACATTTAAAACTAAATACTGTATTCAGAAGCCTGGGTCCTTCACCCACCCAAGAAGGGTCCTTCTTCTAGTTCCCAGGATGATGACTACAAGTGACACACACCCAACAGCGGCTGGGAGATTGTCCTGTGCTGAGACCCAAGTCCTATTGACTTGGGCAACTTTTACTCTGTGCCAGGCAAGGTCACACCCAGGAGCTGCCCCTGGCCACAACTGCATTAGCCTCAGTGCACACAGTGTACTCACTTTTCAGGGAGTTGCTACGGTGAGGGGGCAAAATTGCAACGTATGCAGTCGAAGGGAGGAATAAAGAATTCTACACGCTTCTGCCCCTTTCAATGCTCTATTCACTCAAATTACTCAATACCATTTCACTCTATAGGTTCTTAATCAAGAAAACAACAATCCTTAATGCTGGGCACTGCAATAGACATAATCAATTCACAGCAAACAATTCTAGATTAATTCTAAGCACTGCAAACACACTTAATCATGACAGGCTCATGACAGACATTTCCTCTGCAGGCTAAGTTCAAAAGTCTTAAGCCTTAGGCTTTGTGTCCAGCAGATGCACACTCACTCAGACCACGGTGACCAGGTCCAGAACCAAGGCAGGCTTTTCCTGCATGGAGTAGACGACTGGACCGACCAGTAGAGGAGAGGGTCTTAGGGAGAAGGCGAGGCTCTCACTAAGGTCCAGACGAGGCGGTAGGGTTGGAGAGCAGTGAGGATCACACAGAGGGTCAGGAAACAAGGACAAGTGATGGGATGTCAGTCCAGGTCCTCATTAGGCTCTCCAGCTAGACTGCATCCTTATTTCGGCTGGCTGAATCCCTAATCATTAGCTCTATTATTTATATTAAATTTGGGGGCTTTTCACCCTCCCTTCTAATACTTATCAGCTACCACAGGATTTCTCCATGATATCATCTACCTTGGGGTTCAAAACATCTAGTCTGGTGGTCTCCACCCTTATCTTCTCACCTTTTCCTCTTATCAGGCGAGGACCATTTGTGGTCAAAACAACAACAACAAAAAAAGATGTACAACATTTACTACCTGGGAATGGGAGTAGGACTTTATAAAGTGGTAGGGGGAGGCAGTCCACGAAGAGGAAACCGCACGGGCTTATATATGTGGCTGCAGAGATCACCCAAGTGCACAGGTCCGTCATCACCAAGCCTGCACACCCGGCGGGCGTGGGAGCCAAATTACTTGGTAAGTCACAACACAGTCAGAACTTATCAATAGGAAGTGGAAGGGAAAGTTCCTTGGTCTTTGTAATCACACAAACTGTGTTCACGTCCTCGTGCTCCCATTTCTGGGTGTCCTTCAAATTGGGGCATTAAGTTCTGCCTTAGAGCACGATGGTAAGGATTAAAAGACAACAGGCACAGGCAGAGACTTGCACAATGCATTGCACACAGGAGCTCCCCACCCCACCCCCTGCAGCCACCTCTACCCGACAGGATTCGCCAGGGACCTAGCGCATGCCAGTTTGCAAGTTCAAACAGCCCTGGCAATTTAGTGTGACCGGTTTCAAAATTAAAAAAGGGCTGGAGATGTGGCCTCCGTAGCACAGCATCCCTGAGTCAACCCCCAGTACTGCGGACACCACACACAAAAAAGTCGGTGGATAAGGTTAGGAGCAACTGAACCATGTCTGGACTACCTGATCTGACAGGTAGGTGGGACACGTGCAACTCCAGCTGGGCTTCCTGCAGGGGCTCTGCTGGCGCACGCGCAGACCGCGATCTGGGCGCGCCCGGCGTGGGTGGGGTGAGATGTCCAGCTGCGCATGCGCGTAGGGCCGGGCGGAGGCCTGAGCGACTGAGCGTCGAGTGTGGCTTGGCTCGAGGTCGGCGTCTGCCCTTTTCAGAGAGCGTTTCTTAGCCGATACTCCACGGTCCGTGGCCACTTTCCTGAGGCGCGGCGGACGCCTAGTCAGTGCGCGAGAGCCTGGTTGAGCTCGTAGCTGCCGGGGGCTGAGGTAATGGCCCGCGGCCCGCGCCCCGGTGTCCCCCGCGAGGTCGGCTTTGTGACTCTTTAACCGCGGCGCGGCCTCACCCTCGGCAGCCTCCTGAGAGGTCACCCTGTCGCCCCAGGGATGCTGCAGGGCGCCGTGGGCAGCGCGGGCACGGCTGGCGAGGGACCCGCGTGCTGCTGCCCACCCAGCCCTCCGAGGCCCCCCGCTCCCCGCACCCAGAAACTCCCGCCTGGGAGAAGGGCTCCTTTGATCCATCTCCACCCTCTAAGTCAGGCTTAGCAGTTGCCATGAACATGAGACTTCTTCCATTGAAACGTTTCCTGTCACATCATGTCTTGATGATCCGAATGAATCTCTGGCTTTCAAATGCCTGATTGCACCTGGGGAGAAAATATTTGAGTCATGGTTCTCCCTGAGATCTTCGTTCAGCTCCCAGGAGGCGGGCTGGAAAGGTAGAATCTTGGCATCTGGAAAGGTAGACAGACAGATGCAGGCCCGGTGCACTGTGCTGACCACCCTCGACTTTTCTCATCTCTAGTTCATTTGCAGGCCTGCAGGTAGGAAACCACAGTGCCCAACAGTGTACCGTATCTCGTGGGCACCTGGAAGCTGGGCATGTCCAAATGTGAACTCAGCATCCTCCCCTCCACATTTGGCTTTTGGTCCTCAGGGGTGTAGCCCAAAGGTAGAGCAAGTGCTTAGCATGCATGAGGCCGTGGGTTCAAGCACTGCCAAGAACTGAAAACAACAATAAACTTTCCCAGGCTTTTTTTTTTTTTTAAGGAGGGGTCACTTAGCTCACTGGGAGTCACTGTGGACTGTTACCTCCCCAAAAAGTCACCAAATTGGGCATCTTCCGAGGCATCTTGCCAATCAGATCCACCTTTCTTCATCTCCACTTATATCACCATAGTCCAAGCCACAGTAAGCTTCTCCCTGAAGCTGCTAGAGTCTCCTTGCTGGTCCCCTCTCCTCTCTTGTTCTGAGTTGTTTCCCACATTAACAGCTTTCTGGATGTGTCATTTTTTTTTCTTTATTCCCTTCAGTGCCTTCTGATTTCTCTTAGGATCTTCTGCACAATTTCAGCTTATGAGGAAGGCTGTCATCCTTTCTCTCTGCTTTCTTCCTAGATGATCTCATCCATTTCAGTAGCTTCAAATGCCTTCTAAACACTGATGACTCAAATTTATATTTCCATCCTGGTTTCCATCCCTTGCACACAAAGAGTCTTCCTCCTTATCATAACCGTTTGGATGTCTAATAGAGCTTCTCAGACTTAACCAAAACAGAACTATTGATTCTACACCCCAATCTTTTTTTCCTAGAATCTTCCCCGTCTCAGTAAAGGATATGTACCACTATCCAGCTAATTGCTAAGAGTCATCCTAGAGTCCCATAAAAATCTATGAGTTAATGTAAAATGCACCTCAAATTCAACCATGACTTATAAAACCCAAAGTCCACGTCAATAGCATCTTTCTCCTAGAATACTACAGCAGTTTCCTAACTGATCTCCCTGTTTCTGATCTTGTTGCCTTACAGTTTTCTTCCTTTTAGCAACCAGATATTTATGTAATTTCTAAAACAAACCATTTCTCTCCCCTTTATAAAGCCCTTAGCATAAACTCTGGGCTTTTTACAATGACTTATAAGCTTTGCATGGTCTGGCTTCTGCCTAACACCCTGACTTTGTCTCCTTCTACTCTGTCTTCATTCTCTAATTTCTTGTCAAACTGACCTTTCTGTCCCTTAAACTGCCCATCACAGAGCATCTGTGCTTGCTGTGTTTTCTACTTGGGATGCTTTTTCTCCTGATCTTTGCATGGTTGTTTCTTTTCCATTATGGCCTCGTCTCTTGTGATCTCTGAAAATCCCTCACTGGCCACATTAAAGCAGTCTCCTAATGACTCTACTTTAAAAGCCTATTTTAAACCAGGTGAGGTGGCACATCCCCATAGTCCCAGCATGTCAGAAGATGGAGGCAGGAGGATTGCAAGTTTGAGGCCAACCTCAGCAACTTAGCAAGACCCCCATCTCAAGATAAAATTAAAATGGCTGGGTATGTGGCCATTTTAATGGAGTGCCCCTGTGTTCAATCCATGGTACCAACACACATATCCACAAAATATGTTTTTTTCATACTACTCAAATAATTTAAATTTTTGTGTGCTTATTGTTGTTCTCCACACCTCCTTTAATGTAAGCCATTAGAGATGAAAAATCATATCTCTCTTGTTACCTACTATATCAGTTCCCAGAACAGAGCCCAGTGCACAGTAGGTTCTCAAGCTGTATGACAACTAATTCACAGCTAATCTGACTCAGCACGTGCACACTATGTTCCAGGTTACTGTACTTCTGAGTGTTCCATGCTTTCTCCTAACTGAGGACTCTTGTACATGCTATTTCTTGTTGGAACCCAGACCCCATACCTAGTCACCATTTGTGCCTCTCTACTTGATGCTCAGAAATGAATCCCTTAAGAGTGGGCTTCCCAGCTGGGTGTGGTAGCACACACCTGTAATCCCAGCAGTTCCGGAGGCTGAGACAGGAGGATTGCAAGTTCACCAGTCTCAGCAATGGCAAGGCACTTAGCAACTCAGTGATCCCTGCTCTAAATCAAATACAAAATAGAGCTGGGATGTGGCTCAGTGGTTGAGTGCCCCTGGAGTTCAATCCCTAGTCCAAAAAATAAAAAAATAAAAAACCCCACTGGGCTTCCCTGACTCCAGTGTATGTTAGGATTCTCTGATTTTTCCACATCACCCTCTTTGTATGTAGCTGTTAAAACCATTTGTAAGCTCTTTGCAAGCAAAGATCAAGACCTTATTGTCTTTACCTCCAGTTCTTCGTTTCTGGCACAGAGTGGGGATGCAGGTATTTGTGAACCAAAGGAATAAATGTTAACTGAACACAAGATTGAAATAATCAAATTTGAGTAAAAGTTAAAAAAAAAACACACACACACTGAGCATGAGCATAAGTGCTATCTGAATCTGCCCTGCCTACTTCAGTAGAAAATTTTGGATCATTTGAAAGCATTATGTATAAATTAAAAGTGCTTTATAAATAAGATATTGCGGGGGGCTGAGGGTGTAACTAGTAGTAGACCATTTGCCTGGTGTGTATGAGGCCCTGAGTTCAATCTCTAGCACTGCAAAAGAAAGAAGAAAGAAAGAGGGTTGTGTTTTGTTTTTTTCCTGGGTAAGCCCTATTCGATGTCAGATCCCTGTGGTCTGATGGTCTTTCAGAGTGCAAAACTTTCTGTTTCTTTTCAATTATTAGCCTAATTCATTATGCTGAAGTGGTAAAATATGAAGAATTACAGCTAATGTTGAGTCTAGGTCAGTTTGTAAGGTAATATACAGGGTCTCACTAAATTACCTGGGAGGCTTAGAATTTGTGTTATTTCTGCCTCAGCCTTCGAAGTCCCTGGGATTACATGCCTGCACCACTTCACCCAGCATTTTTTTTTCTTATTAATTTCCTCAGAATCTACCATTGTTTCATGCCAAGAATAAAATATATGTTGGAGGCTTCTTTTTACACTTCCCTGTATCTTCTGCCACTAAGACTATTGAGGTATGTGCATTATAGGCTCAGTTTATAGCTCGATGTTGTAAAAGATGCTTCCTTTCTCTTCAACTGAGGATATTCTTTCCACCACTTGCCCTTTTGAAACTATTGATACTGCTTTTTTTTCTTTTCATTTAAAAAACTTGTAGATGGACACAATATCTTTATTTTTATTTATTTATTTGTTTGTTTTAAATATTTATTTTTCAATTGTAGTTGGACACAATACCATTATTTTACTTATTTATTTTTTTGTGGTGCTGAGGATCTAACTCAGGGACTCACGAGTGTGAGGCAAGTGCTCTACCACTGAGCCACAACTCCAGCCCCCCTTCCTGTTCATTATTAATCTTCTCCCTACATGTAATCCTTCAGGGCAGGTCACCCAGTGGTATAACTATAAAATAAAATGTCCCTCACTGCCTGCAATTTTACATCCAAATGCCTTTTGGGTTCCTGGGGTTGGTAGGATTCTTAGTGAGTTCAGGGTGGTGTGAATGCTAATGCAGTGGTTGATGATTTTCATGTGACAAGTCACAACTGCTAGGTGGGTCTTGAGATGAGGAACCACTGATTTTTTGGATAAAGAGCACAATCCTGGATCTATTGACCAAAGCAAGTTTTTCATTAACTTTTAGGGTTAAGATGGAAGTAGAAGATGCACTTAGGTGTGAAGAGTAATTTAAGAGGTTAATTTAGATTCATTTCTGGTTTATTGAGATATCCACTAAGATTTTTTGATTTTATGTGAGAGTTCTCTTCCTATTAAGTTTAATTACTCTCCCTCCTCCCCCAAACAAAACCTGAAACAGGTCCAAGGGCAAATCTATTCCTGCACGAATGCCAGTGGCATTTTAAAGGTTACATCTTACCAGAAAGGGGGAGAAAACCTTTGAGAAAACAGAATGATGTCAGTAAGCTTGGAAGTAGCCTCATCAATCTCTTCCTGTCTTGTATCTTAATGCTTTGTTTAAAAAAAAAAAATTCTTGGGCTTGGGGTGTGGTTCAGTGGTAAAGCACTTAACTAGCAAGAATAAGTCCCTGGGTTCAACTCCTGTACCCACCGCCCCCCCCATGCAAAATATATACACATATATGTGTGTGTGTATAATATGTGTTATATATTACATATACACATATATACACATACACACATATGACTTCCTTATTGGGTAACCTATGTGCTAAGTACTTCAGTGAGCAATTATACACTTTTATTAGTTATCCTTATCACCCTGCATTGTGAAGAAACAGAATAGTTCCTTTTGAAAATGGAACTTGAAGACAAAAAAGAGTTTACATTCCAAATTATAATCCTATGAACCATTCATCAGAAAAGTTCATATTTTGTTTCAATATCTTTGTCCAGAATGAATTTGCCTGGGATCATCAGTCATGAGTGTGAACAGGTTGTAGATTAAAATGACAAGATGATAGTTGTAATGGGAAAATGCAGAGACCAGAGGGTTGACAATCTTGAGGGACTATTCCTGGGTCCATACTGGATTATGTGACTTTGTGGAAGTTGTTACTTTCATTTTTTTTTTCCCCTTGATACCAGGAATTGAACTCAGGGGCACTTTACCACTGAGCTACATCCCCAGCCCTTTTTTA